AACTCAGGGTCTCGAGAGATCTCCATTTCTCATAGATGGTGCCTTTCCTGTGTCTTCAAATTATGGCAAGCATGAACAACATCCCTTGAATGCCATTCTAAGGGTGCAAACCCCACCCATGAGGGCTCTCCCCTCATGACCTGCTCACTTCCTCAAGGCTCTTTTGCCAAATACCATTGCCTTGAAGGTTGACATATCAATATATGAATTTGGGGAGACACAAGCACATAGACCACAGCAGAGATGGTGTCAAGGGTGTCCTAAAATTGGGCCTACTATGACATTGAGCACATCCATCTCCCTTTTCCTTGTTATTGGTAGAGTCAGTTCATTCCTCCTGATATAAACTATCCCAAGTTGAGTCACGGCCACACTTAATTTTAACATGGTTGTAAATGCCTTCAATCCTGCCACTGGACAAAGAGCCAGGAGGGTCCTGAATTCAAGGCCAGCCTTAGGAGGTAGGGCTGTATTTTCTGTAATGATCTTTGCTTCATATCCAGATACCTTCCCTTCATTAACCTTTTTTAACTCATTAGACACATGACTTTCAGTGACTTCAGATATCAGTAATTTGATATCTGTCTTAGTTAGGGTTTCTGTTGCTGTGGAGAAACACCATGACCACAGTAGCTCTTATAAAGGAAAATATTTATTTGGGGATCACTTACAGTTCAGAGGCTTAGTCCATTATCATCATGGTGATAAGCATGGCAGCTGAAAGCAGACATGGTGCTGGAGAGAGAGCTGAGAGTTCTACCTCTTGATCTGCAGGCAACAGGAAGAGAAAGTGATAACTTTCTCTGATAACTCCACACATATTCCATTAATCCCACACTGTAAATGACATTTTTATTTTCTCAGACGAGGGGATGAGATGAGAGCTGTACCCATGCTTTATGAATACAAAGTGACTTGGGTTGAGCCCAGAACATTTCTACCTGACTATCCCTAGGCCTGGAAGCTTCTAGCCTTTGTACAATCTAATCTTCTGCAAGCCGGGACTTTGTAGGCTTCAGCTTCCAACCTCTATCTGCTAAGCTAGGCCTAGGACGTTTTCAGCCTCTCAGACATTTGAGGTTTCTTTTCAACCACATTGGGTGCCAGATGTAAATGACAATTTAATTTGCCAGGTGCAATGGCTATCTCAAGGCTTACTGCAGAATAACTGGCCCTTTTCTAGTTCTTTCTGTCCTGTGGCTGGTTGGTTCAACTCAGTTGTTCAGGCTCAAACTTCTCACCAAGCTGACTGATTCAATTTGTCTTCTCTTGACTTCTCACTGACTTGCTTGGCTCAAACTAACTCTGGCAATTTGTTCTAAACTTCTGGATCCTTCTTATTCTCTGGCCTCAACTATGTCTGATGACCTACACTGAACTGCCTGGACTGGACTGTTCTGTACTGAACTCAGTTCTATTCTACTGTCTTCTCTACTGTACTCTATTGTCTACTCTCTCTATTGTATCCTACCTACTGTCTCTACTCTACTGCTCCTAAGTAGCTTCTCTTTCCTGTCCTCTTCAGAGTTGGGCATATCCTATCTCTGGCTCATTCTGTCAAATCTTTGCTTTGTCTGCCCCTCAATTAGATGTCACTTTCAAGCATAGTTTCTTTCTTCTACTAATGAACCTTACCTTCATTGTTTGGCATCAAAGCTGTGTACTAAGGGCGTGTCTGTATTCCAAACAAATCATCCTGTAATCCAGGGTATGTCTGCCTTCCGGCTGGATAACATAAACCTAGAAGATCTTTGGATGCGATCCCTTACCAGAGTAGCCATGTTGCTGGATTAAAATTCCTCTATATCACACCTTCACACCTCCTAAGAGCCTACAAGGACTTTTTTTTTTTCCCCCAAAGCAATCAATGTTATCCTGGCAAATATTGATAAGAAGAAAACCTAGTGAACCTAGTGATCTCTTTTGAGCTCTGATCATAGACTCTGGTCCAAGTTTGACATTATGGCCTTTCCCTCTTCTCTTAGTTCCAGACAGTACTGCCTCTGTGCTCACACCGCTTCCCAGGCCTTCCCCCACTCTAACCTGTTCTCTTTGAGCTAAGTCACTCATGTCTGCCATCCTGATGGAAATGCATCAATGTTTTCACATTAGAGATGGCCTAGCTTTTGTCCAGTCTCCTTCAGAGGCACCTGAAACTAGAACATATGCTTAGAAACTATTTCTCACATCCATAAATGGATACGTGTATTTCAGATAAAATAATTTTAGTTGACTAGGAGAAGGAATAGATTATGTTATAGTATAATTGAACTAATTCAAGCAAGAGGAAAAATTCACAGAGAAGTCTTAATGATGTGACATTGGTGACACATGGGTATTTGCGTTGGAGATCTGTTTATTTGTAAAATGTGTCATGGCCAGCAAGGGGGCTCAGTGGTTTAAAGGCACTTGCCAAACATGTCTGTGACTTGAGTTTGAGTCCTGGAATCCCCATAAAGGTATAAGCAAGGAACTGACTCCACAAAGTTGTCTCCTGACCTCCATACGTGTAGCCACACAAAATAATAATTAATAAATAACTTTAAATGCCAAATGTGTAGTGATTCTTTTTAAAAATTCATGTGTTTAAAATGCACAATTTAATTTAAATTAAATTTAATTCAATTTAAAAAATTGTGTGTTTAATATGCATGGTGTGTGTGTGTGATATCTACATGTCATGGCATAAGAGTGGAAATTATAAAACAACTTGAAGGAGATGATTTTCTTCTTCTACCATGTGGGTCCTGGTATTGTGTTTAGGTCTTCAGGCTTGAGTGCAGGTGCCTTTTTTGATGAACCATCTTACTAACCCATATGCTTTAACTTTTTCTAAATGTACATTTGCACAGGGTTGAAAGATATTTACCCACTCAGGAATGCAAATACCATTCCAAAAATACTTACGATTAGAGATTCTGACCTGGGGCTTCAATCATCAAAAGCAATTATCTTCAGTGTCCTGGTTACCTAATATATTTTCACATATGTTTTATATGAACATATATTTCTAAATTCACTGAGAACTCAAAAAAAAAAAAAACTGTGAATATGTTCCTGTGGCAAATGAAGGAAATGTGGCAGGAGCTGTAGATGTGGCAGGAAATGTAGAAGGATTGTGAGTTTGAGGTAAGCTTGGACTGTACATGGAGATGATGTTTCAGAATCTGAAAACAAAACAAATAAGAAGCCTAAGTATCTTCAGATGAGGTCTTTTGTATTTTCTTTTTTCTTTCTGATACTAGCTGTTTCCAGTAAATTTGGCAGAATCCCATGGACTGTGAGGCATGAAAAGTGATACAGGAAGAGGAGAAGTTTAGAATCTTCTGGAAAAACAAAGAAAGAAAAAATAAGAGAAAAGAAATACTTGCTCCTTATGAAATCTCTTGCTTCTCCAGGTCTCCTTAATAATTTTACGGTTTATCAAAAAGTGATGGTCACATCAAGGAGGGGTCAGGCACTATGAGATAAATGTCATCATCAATTATCCTGACAAATTGGAAGTATAACCTTCCATCAGGACAGAGAGCCTTCGCCACGTGCCCCAGTGGGTGGTTCAAAGTGTTATCTTGAAGGAATTAGTCGAAGCATTTGAACTGCTCAATTTGGTAGTGAAAAGATCACATCTCTTCAGTTAACCACGATTAACTGGAAAGCTCAAATGTTCTGACAAGGCATTAGCCTGCAGTAATCAAGGATTTTTGGCAAAGAAAAAAAAATTAATCTTGTTTTTGTGAACTAGAACTAAAATACATTATTAATGGGGATGTATGCTGAGTACAAGCAGCGGCATAAACAGTAACTGTGTGTGACACGAAGCCAAATGCTCTCTCTGCCACTTTAAATATTGACTTTGCCTTTCCTGTCTCAGATTCATATTACAAAGAAGAGAAACGAAAATGAAAATGTCTTAAAATACAAGTGAATCTGCCAAGGACAATTAGCATTTGGGGAAAGTTTGGAAATATAGTGTTTAAAACATGCAAGATTTTAAAAAAAGAAGAAAAAAATTTAGCTCATTCAATTTCTTCAAACATTTCCCAGCATAGATCAACATTTGTTACTGTTACTCGTTTATTTTTCTCAATGAAAATGGGGGTGGGGTTTCATTAAAATCACGTCAAAATTTGATGGTTTCATAACTTTTAACAGGTTTTAATATAAAGCTAAAAGCTCTTGCAGCCTTGTAGCAGGCCTAGGAATATAGACATTTTGTATCCATTCACAAGGTTTCTGCTTGCCTTTCAGCCAGCGGTGAGACTACCCCTTTTTCTAATGAATATTAATTTTCCTGTATTGCAATCTGCTCTGCCACCTGTTATTGAAAATACTCTCTTTCCAAGGAGATAATTTTGTTTACGTTTTGATTGCATACAACTTCTGTGAGCCTTTCATTAGAAGAAAATCAGTTCTGTAGCTAGATTAGAGACAGTATTTGTTTAAATGCTAACCAGTCGGAGCAGTAGTGGTTAAAATGGGGGCTGAACGAATCAAAAGCGGGAAAAGAGGGCTGGGTAGACACCTTGGTCTGTCAAGCGCTTGCCACATATGACCGTTGGTACTGTTACACTGATGCACTTTTAAATCCCCTGAAAAGAGTCTATAAGGGATTGTCTAACCAGGTTGGTTCATGGGCCTGTCTGTGGAGGATTGACTTGATTATTGCGGTGATTTGAACGAGGATGGTCTCCATTGGCTCATAAACTTGAATGCCTGGTCCCTGGTTGATGGAACTGTTCAGGAAGCAGTTGTTGAAGGAGGTGTGTCACTGGGTGTTGGGCTTTGATGTTTCAAACGCCCACGCCCTTCCCAGTTAGCGTGCATGGGCTCTCTCTCTCTCCTCTCTCTCTCTCTGCTCTGAACTTGTGAATAAAGATGTAAGCTCTCAGCCTACTGCTCCAGTGCCATGCTTGCCTTCCTGCCTGCTACCATGCTCCCTGCCATGATTGTCATGGAGTCATCTGCAAGTTCCAATAAACTCTTTTTTTTTTTTTCTATAGGTTGTCTTGGTCATGATGTCTTCACCCCAATAAGAAAGTAACAAAGGCAATTACGTAAATTGAGATGGGAAGGCCTGCCTATGGTGGTAGCACCATCCCCTGCATTTGGTCCCTAGACCGTGTATGAGTGAAGAGAGCCAATCGCTAGTACCCGTGCATGCGTTAATTCTCTCTCTGCTCATGAATGTAGCGAGCTTCCTCAAGTTCCTGTCACCTTGACTTCCCCTCAGTGATGGACTGTAGCCTTGGATTGTGAGCAAAAATAAACTCGTTATCGCCTAAGCCACTTTTGCTAGGGTATTTTGTCAAGCAACAGGAAACAACAGTAGGACGCTGTGCAAGCCTGGGGAACTCGGTTTGATCTGAGCTCCATGGAAAGCTGGGCAGGGGGCAGGTACGTGAAATCCAAGGCAGAGAGACCTGGAGGCTGCTGGCCACGTGAAATAGCCATGGAGAGATGACCCTGTCTCAAAGCTTAAACAACACGGTAGGCACTGCCTGGGGGACATTGGGAGTTGGGTGTTGACCGTGGGTTCTCACATCTACACCCCCAAAAGACACAGTCACACACACACACACACACACACACACACACACACACACACAGAGAGAGAGAGAGAGAGAGAGAGAGAGAGAGAGAGAGAGAGAGAGATTAGGTAACTTGAAAGCACATAGAAGATATCACTGGTCACAAAAAAACAACTCTGTTTATCCTGAGTTGCCTGCTCCTATTGGCTGGCAGATATAAATCGAGGCTGGTTCTAGCTTTCGAGGCTAGGATAGACAGGTGGTTTTGGGCGCAGATAGTGTAATTTCCCTTCTGCTCTGGCAATGTTAGCCACAAGATCAACAAGCAGTGAGACTTATAGCACAAAACTCTACAGGAACCAGCTTGTTTCTGCTCCTCTGGCGAGTGTTATCCCGCATTGAAGCACACAGCAGCATCTTTCACAAGGATGGCCCTGGGAAGGAGCCAGCAACCTTTGAAAGGCAGCTCTCAAAACTCGTGTTCTCCATAAATAGAATTGAACTATATTATATAAATCACATAAATAATTTAGACGCTAACTTATCACATACTTTTTTTGGAGACAGAGTTTCTCTATGCGGCCCTTGGCTAGCCTGGAACTCCATACACATCAAAAAGATCCACCTGCCTCTCCTTTCCTGAGCGCTGGGATAAAAGCCATATGCCATCACACTGGGCACTAATTTACGTACTCTTATTAGAAAAGGAAATTACATGGCTAGCTTTTTTAGTTCTGGAAAAATATTTCCTATGTTAGCAGGAATAATATATGCGCACTCTTTTAAGAAAGAGATAAGAAATAGATCTCCCATCAGAATCTACTAATTTTAGAGGAAGTGGTGAAATTAAAATCTATAATTACACTCCTATTATAACAGAAACCCACTTCACTCTGTGTATTCAATCAACAAAGCAGTGTCCCTGGTGGTCTAGTGGCCAGGACTCTCAATCAACATAGCAAATTTTGTTAAGAATCAATAAAAGCTTCTGTGGTTTTGTTTTCAGTCACATAAGTAAACAAATACTTGAAGATTATTCAATAAAATCAAATAATGCTTGTTGTTATTGTCTTTAAGGCATAGAGAAACATGTTCATTAGGAAAATGTGAGAACGAAACCCCCACGAACACAGTAGAACTACCTCTAAAGCCTGCATTTCAAATACAACCATGATTGTTCCCTTGCAGGTTCGTTGGAGTTTTGTATGCATGAATTAGATAGATGCATCTAAATAAACCAAGCTAAAATTACATGTGCTGGTTCACTTTTTAATTAAAAAAATATTCCCTTTATATGTAAATATGTATAGGTGTTTTGCCTGCATGTATGTCTGTGTACCAGGTGCATGTTTGTTGTCTATAAAAGTCAGAAGAAGGCATTGAATCCCTGGGACTAGAGTTACAGACTTTTGGGAGTCACCATGTGGGTGCTGGAGTTAAACCTGAGTCCCGTGAAAGAGCATCCGGTGTCATCTCTCTAGCCTGTTATTTATTTGTTTGTTTGTTTGTTTTTACTTCAATAATATATGTGACTTGTTTTCTTTTATTCTGCTAAACCTGGTTTCTTACAGTCACTGTGTACATTTTTGCCGGTGTGTTCTTATAAAAATGATGCTAAAATAAATGCTTGTAAGTAAATGTGTATCTCTTCTTTAGATCTTTTAAAAGAGAAATATTTACATTGGAATTCTAAAAGAGTTATTAAGGTTTCTGGAACACTTGGCCTTTCAGAAAACTTGAGTTGAATTATACTCTCACAAATCATGTTAAGAAAACTCATACAGCCATTATGGAAATCATCATGGCAGTTCTCAGAAAGACAGAAATCAATGTACCTCAAGATCCAGCTATACCAGATTTAGCCATATACCCAAAGGACCCTTCATTCTACCTCAGGGGCAGTTGCTCAACAATGTTCATTGCTGCTCTAGTCATAATAACCAGAAACTGGGAACAACTTAGATTTCCCTCAACAGAAGAATGGATTTTAAAAAAAAAGGTGTACATTTACACAATGGAATAATACGCAGTTGTTAAAAAAATGACATTATGAAATTTGCAGGTAAATGAATGGAACTAGAAAAAAATCAATGTTACTTTTAAGCACAGTTTAAAGCCTGTCACAGAATTAATGTGGACTAGGAGACAGACTATAAATATGATGAAAAATGAAAAAGAAGAAAAGAACGAACTGAATAGCTGACTTAAGCGATTCATCTCTATGACCAAGTTCGACTTTACCCATCTTGTTCAAGGATTTCCATTCTGAGTTTTAACATCCTAGGCATCTTTAATGGATTCAAGCAATAGCAAAGTTTCTCATCATTTTCCCCCAGATGCCTTTCCTTTTACTCCTATTAGAATAAAAACACATACTATGTCAAATAGTGAGAATTTATGGGTAAATCATGCTTCTAATGCATGTGCAAACTCCTTCAGAGTTGGGACAATGCGCTATGTAAGTGGCAATGTTTATTTATTTACTTCTAGCATTCTCCTGTATGTAATTCTACAATATCCTATTCCCTCAGTTCAGAGTCAAGAAGTTCTTTGTAACCATCTGACTTATGATCTCATGTGATCTACTAACAAACTCATGGGAAGATGCTTTTTAATATAAAGGAAAAGAACAGGTTTGGGCAATAACCATTCTTTTAATTAAAATTTATTTCTTAGCTGGGTGTGGTGGCACATCCCTATAGTCCCAGTGCTCAGGGCAGGAGAGGCAGGCGGATTGCTATGAGTTTGAGGCCAGTCTGGTCTACAAAGCAAGTCTAGGACAGCCAAGGCTACACAGAGAAACCCTGTCTCAAAAAGCCAAAAGAGTGAAATGATTTCTTAAAATTGCCTAGTATGAGGTAATATTTCTCAACAAGAGTTCTGTAAGATCAGTCTTCAGGGTGTTAATAGTTGAATTGAAGAGCTTTCTCGAAACACTCAGAGGGAGAACACATTTGACCTGTACGACTCCCTGTAGGATGAAATGAGTGGGAAGCTAGAGTAACTGTGAAGGAGCCATCTTGGGGTGCTGCTTCTGACAAGGTTACCTCAGACATGCCACTCTGCCCCGCTGTGTGCTGAGACTGGCTATAGCAAAGGGAAGCATCTTGTGTGTCTGGGCTGTCTTCTCTGGAAAGTATTAGGTATCATGGCTTCACTCTGTAGGCAGCCTGAGAGAAGCCCAGGCAAATGACAGAGCCAGCCTTGCAATTTGTGCCTTAGTGGAATTCCGGAGCCACAAGTCTTATTGGAAGCGTTGAAGTTGCTATATTTTTTAGTACTTTATAGAAGACAGAATATACCAAGTATCCATAAAAAGGAGAAGATTCAGGGAGGGGCTAAATTCATTTAACACGCTTGGCATCATCCCTAAGTACACAGAGAAACTTGGCTTCACTCTGCTGTGTGGATTAGCCACAATTTTGAAGTCTGTAATTTTCTGTTATCTACCCAGACAGTCTTTTTTTTTTAATGTGGATAAACTGAAAATTGAATGTAACTATGAAACCTAACAATCTTGAGACCGACCAGCCACGCGGTACTCTTTAGAAACGATGTGAATTGAGATGTTTCTCACTAGATGACTCAAGTCATGTTTGCTCGTGGCTAAAGAAGGCTAAAAGATGTGATTATCAATCACAATCCCCCACACTAAAAAAAAAAAAAAAAAAAAAAAAAGTTCTCTCTTAAAAACAAGCCTAGTGAGACAGGGCCAACATTAGCAACAAAAGAGAAGTGAGAGGTGATTTGAGGAAGTAAAATAAGGTTTAGTAAATACTGGGAGATTTCCGTGGAAGCTACTGAAAGGGGAACTCCAAGATAAGCCTGGCATTTGTACTGATCTCGACTTGAGTTTGCATATTCTGCCATCTCACAGTGCATTCTGACTAAAACAGCGAAGATACCTAGTATTCGTGGTCAGTGAAGCTAGCTAGCAGAAGGGTAGGTGCATCCTGTTACAGTCCACACAATGACACCAGAGCCACGTGTGGCCAAGTGATCCCACGGCCAGGCACTGCATGGAAGCGTTTCACCTTGGGTTAACTCAGGAGTCCTCCTAGCAAGCCCGTGAGGGGTGTACTATCCTTGACTCAGTTTTCAGGAGCCTGAAGCTTGGAGTGGTGGACAAATTTCCCAAGCCGGTAAGCATTCAACCTCATTTTGAGAGCCCAGCCCCGAATTCACCAGTATTGTACTAAAGTGCACACTATGCCCTCTCCTGCCCACCTGCCCTTCAAACATTTGCCGTGGAAGTCATTCTTGTCCTAGTACATTGTCACTATCCCAAGGCCAACTTTTAGGACACACTATGCTTCTTCACATTAACCCTTCCAATAATCTCCCTCAAGTTTCTTTTTCTTTCAGGGCCTGACAGATCAAGGATGTACTGTGAAGGAGGTAGTCCTTGCTTGATGCAGCAGGCTTTAGTCAGAATACCTATAAGCATGATCAACAAAGTCTTCCAATGCCTGACTCATTTACTTCATGTTCAGTGCGGGTTGTACATGCTGCTGGAAAAATTGTGACCCATCTATTGAAGGTCTTTGTACCTAAGACAAGCCATACATGAAAGCAGGTAGGCATTCAAGGTACTGAAAGGGGCACTTGCCACCAATTTCCCCGCAGACTCACAAATTGGTCTGAAATTCTCACCACTAATACTATATGTTTAGATAACACCCCTCCCTACTTCACACCACACAGTAAGGATACAAACATGGT